TATATATATACTTACGACGGCTATACGCAGAGTGCAAATAAAGGAAAAACGTGATGGATATACACACGTTTAGATATGGGTGATGGTAAAAGCGCGGCACATGCGCGCTTTGCTCCAAAACAAAATGTAAATAAACAATGAAGGGGGAGGGGGGGGAAACCCCCCAAGAATTATCCTTTAACTAAGCAAAAAGCGGTTGTAGCGAGAGAACGATGCGTTATTTATGAATTTTGACTCATTGGTGTCAAGTCAAGCTTACCTCCGGGAGTCCTTTCTTTATACTTTCTCTATTGGCAATTGTTGTCCAATTGTTTTATTTTTACTTCAGCTGTACTATATGTTATCCCCCACACTTGGGGTGGACTGACACTTTTAATGCAAAACGATGGACGCTACGTTGGCAAGGGTTTGTTGTTGCTGTGTGTGGACACTTGCGGCAGAGTCGGCTTTTTTTCTTCTCTCTCTCTCTCTTTTTACTTGTCAGTTTGGGCGCATATATCAAAACAAAACAAAACATCAGCTGATAACGACGTATGCTAGTGTACGAGTCAGCTGTGTCTAGGACGCGCGCAAATATACACCCACACGATAAACGATATGCCGCTCATGGTTACTCTACATGTGTGTACTCCGGGGAGTGGGCACAAGATAACTGCGTCGAATGGATGCATATGTATCCATATATGGTGTACTTATACTTATATTACTGGAGGCGCGAGTCCCTCTCGCGGATCGACTGCACTATCCATTGTATACATATACGTATACTCTTCTCTCTATTATACATTTATTCGTTGTGCAGGTGTATTATTTAGCCGATGCCGATGGTATACACATTGTACAAGCTGCTGGAAGAATTTTAACTTGATTTTTGGTCGTTAACCTAATTGCGATTAAATAAACAGCAATTAAATTATTAATAAAACTGTATCAATAGCACGACAATTACTTCACTGTGGCGAGGGTCCGTTGTTTCGTGCACGGGTTACTTGTTCTGGAGCACAAATTTCGAAAGTAGCGCTTTCACGTTTATAAGGACTGCGCATGCGCAATTACAGAGCTTTTTTTTTAAAAAAAAGACCCGCGCAAACTTGCATCGCGTTCAATTTTATCGTCTGCTGGTCAGACAGTTTCTGCTGTCTATGTACTCTCCCAACCGATGCTAATCGATTTAATTTCTGCAGTGAATGCAGTTCAAATAAATGTAATTATTTTTATTAATGCAATTAGCACCTCCGATAATAAGCTGCTGGGCGTATAATTAGTTTTTTATCGCCAACGAACATGTATAAGTAACTCCTTTCATTAACTGTGACATGCATACGCATCCATACCTATTGTTGTAACTCAACATACACACTTGCATACATGTATATTAACTTTACAGATAGTGAATCAGATCAGAACTCTTATCGTTAATTGTACTACTTCATCTGTGTTCCCAGTGTTCCTGAGTGAATAATCAGCCAAAGTGTATCATCAATTTTACTTACTCTAGATAACGGGAAAGCTCCATATAACGTAAGGTTCGTGTGCATAATACCATGCAGAGAGGGTTCTTGTGCTGATTCTTTTTAGCGTCGGCGATTTCATAAAAGATTTTATCGGTTGTATGTACTTGTGTACTTATATACGCTCGCAAGTATAGTAAATAGTTTTTCATTCATTTGCATTCAGGGTATACGCTATAGTATTTGTGGATAGCCGGTGAATTAAAAGTGATATAAGTATATTAAATAATAAAAACGCCGTTGACGCTGGCGGCCACAAGAGCAGCAGCAGAGAGTTCGGCGACGTGGAAGAATATGTCTGCTGACGTGTTGTCCTCGTGACAGCTGCCGTCCTGCACCAGCTTGACCAGTTGTAAAATACTTATGATCGGTATCGAGACCACCAGGTACATATGCCAACACAAACTTTAAATGATGATTATTGTTATTGTTTACTTTTTTACACTGTTGGTCACATTTCTAATCAAATTTGGAATAAGTAATTTTTTCATTGGATGAAAGCAACTCCGATCAGATATCAGATTTTTAATTTGTAGACTGTTTTGAGACAGTGGCATATAATCCTTTATGTTTCTTTCTACAGTTTATTATCTACGGTTACGTCATTTTGTTGTAATTCCATTAGTCTGTCTTTATGATAGCGACGATGGCTGAAATGAAAGCATTTTTTTCCTCTAGCGTATTATTTATTAGCCGATACGGTTCTTCGTGCACTAACATGACAATACATATAGGTTAGTTTTTAACGTCAAACTGTTAAACTGGTATTTATTAAATAATTACACGACATCGGTGTAGCCTTTGCTTTGTGGTGTTAAAATTTTTATCGTTTTGTATAGGTTTTTTAAGGTCTAGTTTTTGTCTTACGAAAATACATTTTTCTCTCATACATATGGTAGTATTTTTTAAAGAGCGTCTGTTTGTTGTGTGTATCATTGTTTTGGTTGAGATTTTTTTCACTTGTTCATCAATAAAAACTGTTCATTGTTTTATTAAAAATATATTTGTTAACATTTAGTTTTAAATATTAAAAAAAAATTTTTTAAGTAAAATTGAATTATTGCACATATTGAATACTGTTTTTGTTGTAAATTTAATATTATAAAAATATCATTCATAAAATCAAAAAAGTACCCAAAAATTTAGAAAGAAGTTTTCTTAATGACGCTAGCATAACAAATTGATCCTTGACTCTATAAAACTTGTTAAATCTAATTTAGATTCCCAAGAGAAAAATATGATGTGCTTGACTGATTTCAAAGTAGAATTATCCCCAGTTTGTGGAAACAAGACTCTGTTGTATGCAAATGCTAACATAATTAGTTTACCCCAGTCACATTCTCATCCAATTAGCTCTCAAGAACGAGAGCAGTGGGTGATACTGAGTCTAGACATTTTACAAACTTTCACTGCCAATGATTGACTCTGGGTGTTGTGCGGGAAAAAAAGTTTTCCTTAAAATTAAGAGAAATTTCGGTCTGTGAAAATGTGGTTTTTTTATATTTTGATTCTTCAGTTAGCAATGTGGGGTAGTTCGGAGGAACCACCAGGGACAATGGAGGCAGGCCCTCCTCCTCCTCTTCCCGAGTCTGTGACCAATTTAAAAGAAACATGTGAACAGAGTAAAAACCAATTAGAATCTGTGAAAGACATAATGCTCAAAAACAAGCAGAGCTTAAAGAAGAAAGAAGAGGAATTACAGGTCATTACCTAATTCTTTTTACTTGGGCTTATGATTTAGTGTAATGATATTTTAATAAAAATAACAAATTTTATTTCGTGTGTTTATATTTGTGTTACAGGAGTATGCAAAAAAATTATCTAAATTTAAAACCAGAGCCAAAAGATCTCATCGCTTGACCAGAGATGATACCACATCTTCCAGTGAAAGTACTTCAAAGTCCAAGTCTGATACAACCACACCCGATTTAACTCAGGACGTGGTTGATGACATCAGCCAAGCAAAAACTCCAATAGCCAAGTCTTCGTTGTTGCAAAAAAAATTAGCTGAAGATAGAAAAATATTTGAACAGAGAAGCAAAGAATTAACTGAGAGTAAGAGGGCTGCGGAAGAGAAAGTTGAAGCTCTAAGGCAGCAATTTGAAGAGACATACATTACTCCTGTGTCAATTGTCACCCCTGTACTTGTAACGTCACAGGTGATTATGAATTAAGCCGAATGAAAATAACATGTAAAATACTAAACGACTTGAAACTTTATTTTTTAGACTGCTCATCCGGTGATCGAGTTAAGTTCTGTTCAAGACAAAGATAAAAAAATTACCGAGTTGAGCAATAAGTTATTTGAAATGGAAGCAGCCGTCATCGACCTTCAAGAAAATTTGAAAGAAAAAGATTCAGTTATAGACTCCAAAACAAAAGCCATCACGTTGATGTCTGCAGATTTGTCTAAAAGAGGAAAAGTGACATTGGATACCTTGGAAGATACGAAAGACGAAATGAGATCAATGCAAGAAAATTTCGTACTGGTAGAGGAATCGTTACGCAGTAAAAACGACAATCTATTGAAGCAGCTAGAAGAAAAAACTAGTCAAATATCAGCTTTGGAAGAAAATGTTCAAAGGTGAATTGAAATATATATTTTTGTGTATATTTTGATGTACTTAAAATAAAAATATCTTTTTTCAGTTTAACAGGGCGATTGGAAGCCCAAATGCAAGCAGAAATAGTTAGTGTCGATTTTTCACGTTCGACCATGGATACGTTAGCTGATACTAAAGATGCCATGAAATCAATGCAAGAAAATTTCGTTTTGATGGAAACATCACTCAAAGATAAGAACGAAAATTTATTAAAGCAACTGGAAGAGCGTGAAATAAAATTAGCTGAAGCTGAAGCAAAAATCTTGCATCTGGAGTCTGGTCTTGGTATCGAAAAGCAACCAGAGGTCGAAGATTTGATGTACAAAATCGAAAAACTAGAACGAGAAAACCGCAATTTGCAAGATGAAAAATATAAATTACAAAAGAGCATTTCTGAATTGCAAAATCAGATCGTCGTTAGTGAGCCTACAAATAATGATGCCCTAATAGCCGAAAAGGACAGTAAAATAGTAGAACTAGAAAGTCTCCTTGAAGAGTTAAAGAAATCTCATCAAGGTCAAGAGGAGCAGTACAAAACTGAGCTGCAGAAACAAATTGATGAGCTGAATGCTATAAATGTAAATTTGTCTGATAGAATTATCGAATTGGAGAAGAAAGTTGATGAATTGGAAACCGAAAAGGGCGAACTATCTACAAAACTTAGTATCATTGAGAGCGAAGCTCCTAAGGAAGACGACCGTGTTCTGAAACTGACGAAAGAATTGGATGAATTAAATAAAAGCATGATCAAACTGAAAGCTCAGCACAAAAATAAATTGAAGACCTTGCAAAAACAACTAAAGAGCTTTGAGAAGGTTGGTTTATAATATTATTTGAATTTGTTGAATAAAGTTGGTTTTCACAAATTAAAAAAATTTTTTTTCATAGGTGTCCGACTCGAATGCCGAACTGGTTAAGTTAGCAAACCAGATCACCTTGCTGGAAGAAGAGAAAGGTAACCTTCAGCTGAGTCTGGTAGACTTTGATGAGCTTAAAGGTAGGAGCCAGAGCAGATCTGATCTTGTGTCGTTATATATCCATCATCTCCTTTGTTTTATCAATATTTTCTTTTGTAAATGTTATATATTTGATCGCTCTGTCATTTTGCACACATATATTCGCGAAGTTTATTTTTTTTTCTTTTTATTTTTCTTTGAGAGAGAGATGACGTTTGTAAATATTACGTGTGACGTGGGATATTTATTTTTTGACAGACCGCAAGCTGTGCTTATAGTTTTTCTGTTATGGTGATGGATTTCTTAACGATTTGTCGATTAATTTTTTTATTTTTTATTTTTGTTGTATTACGAGATTCCTCGAATTTTAGTATTTCATCCCAATTAAATATTATTTTGAAAAAGAATATGCTGGAAATGAAAAAAAAAAATGTTTAACATGGAACCACCTTTATTACTTGTCAAAGTTTGCTGAATTCTAATTTCTTTAGGAATAGAATGAATGTTTTTTGTAAAATTTAAGTTATGTGCATGCTTTCTTGTTGAATACCTTGATTAGTTGTCTGCATGTATAATTTTTTTTATGAGCTTCCAAGTCAATATGTGTGTTTAAAATTCGAAGATTGCTTTTTTTTTTTTTTCAACATGTACAACATTGTGACTCTACCAAAGTAACAAAGTTGATTTTTTTTTTTTTTAATCAAACTCGCCACGAAATAACAATCTAATTTTGCAATGCTTTATAACGCTTTAGTATTCGTGTATGCTTGGAGTAAAAATACAAAACTATTGTGTGATTATTACAAACTGCAAACAAAGCTTACATAATATGTGTTAGAGTATTGTAAAAATTAAAAAAAAAAAAACCATACGAATATGAACGATATCGGGAATACGATGTGTCTGCACAGTATCGGCGGGTGAGTGGCAAGAACGCATCCCCGACCTTGAAGGTAAGGTCTCAGCTCAAGCTAAAGAGATCGAGTCGCATATCGAAGCCATCGCCATCCTGGAAAACCAAAAACTGGATCTCATGCAAGGTATGGGCTTTTTTTTTTGAAGACCAGCATCGCCAATTAGAGATGGAATCGTGACATTTTCGCGTTATTGATTTATTGATTTTCTTAAAGATATACTATTCCATTAATGGTAGTTATACATTCACGATTCCATCCGTATTTTTCCTTGTAAATAGTCAAAAAAAAAAAAAAAAAAAAAAAAAAAAAAAAAAAAAAAAAAAAAAAAAAAAAGGAAGAAAATTATGCTAACGTATATAACTCTTGCGTAATTTTAATGCAAAGCGTGTACACTTTGCTTGTGACGTTGCGTAGATAACTAAAAGCTAATCGGTAAAAAGTTTTACTGAGAAAGAGAAGAAGAAAAATCGAGTGTTTCTAACAAAAAGAAAACCACTCGGACGTTTCAGAACTCCACGCGGTCAAACAAGAGGTATCGAGTCTGGAGGCCGAGAATGCCGAGTCCGAGAGTTTGCGGGTCACCGCGGAAATAAAGGTCGTCGATCTGGAGGAGCAGCTGGAAACCCTGCAGAAGCAGAGCTCCGAGGATGCCGATCGCGCCGAGCAGCAGCGGCAACTCGAGAGTCTGAGGGAAGAGAACGAGCGCCTCTCCCAGAAGGTCCTCAAGCTCGAAGAGCTCAAAGCTTCGTCGGACGTCGGCTCGACCGAGTCTTTCGTCAAGACCGGCTCCAACGTCGACTCGACCGAGTCGTTCGAGGCTCTGAACGCCGATGCCGATCGCGCCGAACTCTTGCGCAAAATCGATACTCTGACCCGGGAGAACGGAGTACTGCTCGAGAAGCTGACGCGTTTCGAGGAGAAGGGCTCCTCGGACACCGGCTCCACCGAGTCGTTCGAGCGCATACCCGAGCAAGGCGAAGCGAGCTCGCGCCTCGACAATTTGACGCGCGAGAACTACGAGCTCGCCATGAAAGTTACCAAGCTCGAGGAGACGCTAGCCGGTCTCAAAGAGTCCGAGGTGCCGCAGTTGGAGCAAGAGGCGAAAGCGCGCGAGGTGAGATCGGTAGATGCTCCGGGGGTTGAGGGCCAGGAGGCTGGAATGGGTTCGACGACAGTGGTAGAGGAGGGCGCCAACGTGGAGGAGCTTTTGGCGAAAATCTGCCGCTTAACGGCGCTCAACGAGAATTTGACGAGCAGCTTGCAGGAGCTCGAGAAAGAAAAGTCCGAGCTCGTCTCCAAGTTGATGGAAAAACCACTCGAGGAAGAGGAAGTCAAGAAAGTGCGAGATGAACCAACTCCGGCAACCAAAGAAGAAAAACTTGGTGTCGAGAAAGATACCGTCGCTCAAGAATTGCACGAAGAGGAGCCTATAATTCCCGAATCAACATCCGCCGTGGAAAGCTCTCTGCTGGTAGATGATGAAAAGTCAGGCGGTGCCGTCGACCAATCCGTCGAGGGTACGAAACCGAGCGAGTCGGAGCTCGCGGCAGTGGCCACGCTTGAGGCTGAGATCGCACGGTGCAACGCCGTAATCCACGAACAAAAGGACGCGATCGAGGATCTGCGGTCGAAATTGGCCGACAAGGAGGTAGAGCTCGAACGCAAGTCCGCGCAAATAGCCAGCGACAGCGAGACTTGCGATCTGGACGTGACTTCGTTGCGCCGCGAGTTGGAAGACAGCGCGAGCTCGATCGTCGAGTGGAAGGCGAGGTGCTCAGAGACCGAGGCCAAGCTGGAATCCCTGGAGCACAGCAAGCAGGAGATCGCCGAAGGTTTGCAGGCACTGCAGGAAGACAAAAACAATCTGCTCGAAGAGTCCGCGCGCAAGGACGCCCTCGTGAATTCTTTGAAAGAGGAACTGGACAGCACGATAGCGAGTTTCGAGGAGAAATTGAAGGTGCAGACCGACGTCCTTGAATCGCAAGAGGAACTTGTTCATAACCTGAGAAAGAGCATCGAGACTAAGGATCAGGAGCTGCAGGCCAAGTACGCGCAGTTGCAGAGTGACCTGATCAAAATGGACGAGCTTCAGGAGGAGATGGGCAAGCTGTCGGGAAAACTCCAGCAACGAGATACGACTGTAGCGTCGATGACCGAGGAATTGGAGGCCTTGAGAACGAATTCTACCCTAGTGGAAGAGGACTTGTTCGTGGCGAGACATCAGTTGTTCGATTTACAAAAGAAACTAGAAAATACCAAATCTGCAGAAGAGTACGAGCAGCTGGCTGAGAATTTAAACAGCAAGCAGCTCCTCGTCGACGAGCTTGAAGGTAAAATTGCCCAGAGAGTCGCTGAAATCGATGCGTTGAAGGGCCAAGCCAAGGCACTTAGTGCTGAAAACGATAAACTTCGCGAGCAGCTCCAGGAAGAGGAGAGCAAAGCAGCGGATCTCTTGGAGAGCAACAGAGGTCAGGAACAGGCGCTTCAAAATGCCGAAAGAACGAGAGCCGATCTGGAGAACCGCTTCTTGGAGCTGCAGTCACTGCACGAGGAGCAGGAATGGCAATTCAGGAGCAACAGTAATGAGTTGCGAGATGCTTACAAGCTGATGGAACAGTTGAAGATCAAACACACCGAGGACATCAACATGTTGAACCGCCGACTCGAGGATTCCCTGGAGGACATCCAGCTTAAGGCTCAGGAAATCGCTGGTTTGCAGAGTGAGCTGAATCAGAAGAACAGTTTGGTGGCTGCCAGCGTATCGGAAGAGGTAAAGTCGGGCTTGGAGTCTCAAGTGACCGATTTGGAAAAGAGATTGGCAGAGGCTGAAGAAAAGTCGCAGACTCAATTGGAGAAGATGAAGAAATATGCAGCCGTTGCGAAGAAGAAGACTGCTCAAGTTGAGGAACTGGAAAGTAAGATTCGCGAGCTAGAGGAGAAGTTGACGTTGGAGAAGAGCGAGAAGGACGTCAAGAACAGCGAGCTGCAGCAATCTCTAACTCAGATCCAAGAGAAGGACAATAGAATCGTGGCAATGGAAGAGGAGCTCGAACGCGCGCAGACAGAGAGAGCCGAGGCTGTTCGTGACGTGGAAGCAACCATGTCGGAACTCACCGAAACTGGACAAAAATTGAGCGCTCTTCAGGAGGAGCTGCAGCAGTTGAACGAGGTGAAGGAACGCGCGCGCGAGTTGGGCGTGCGCATGGAGGTCATGGAAAAGGAATACATGGAGCAGCTTACCCAGATAAATTCTCTGACGACCGAGAACAGACTGTTGTTGTCGAAACAGACCCAAATCAACGAGCGCCTGGAGAACGTCGAGAAAGAATCGGAAGAGCGTCGCGCCCAGCTAGAAAAACTCGAGAAGGAGAAGGAGATCGAGGAAACTCGCAAGACTGAGGCTCAGGAGATTTGCACGCAGTGTGCCTCGCGCGTGCAAGCTCTCGAGGCTAAACTGCAGGTATTGTCCCTTTACATATATAAATATAAATAAAAACATTATCATCATCCTTATCACGTGTATATTCTTGCGTTACAGGAACGTGACGCGGAGATCGAAAATCTTGACAACGAACTGCACAACTCGATCGGTAATCTCGTGCAGATGCAGGAGAACTTGCGACTGAGTACCATTCCGGACAACTCGTTGCAGGAGTCCTACAACGAGCTCATGGCGCAGTTTAACTCGCTGACAGCTGCAAACGAGGAGACGAGGACGAAGTACGAGGCGGCGCTGAGGGAAAATTACGAGCTATCTCAACGAGTGTCCCATCTGCAGGAGCTCAACACGACAATGCAGACTAAACTCGAGGAAGTTGAAAGAGAGCTTGCAAAGGACAAAGAAACTGCAGCAGCTTTCGAGAGCAAGCACAGTCAGTACATTGATCTACTGGAGCGGTTCGAGAAGCAGAAAGCAGAGCTCGAGACGTCCCAATCTGACCTTCATCAAGCACTCGCGACCAGCGAAGCTAGCCAGCGTGAATTACAGGGCAGGATCGAACAGCTAGAGGGAGACAAGCAGAACCTTATTCGAGATTACGAACAGCTGAAACAAGAAAAGTTGAATCTCCTGCAGGAAGTCGAACAGCTTAAGAGTACTCAACAGAACGTCGTCGTGGATGAGGGCTGGGGATTAGATGCCACCTCGTCCGTGTTTGATGTCGAAGCTCTATCACAGCAGCAGCAGGCAGCCAACGAAACCGACCAACGGCAAAAGAGAGACGTCGAGGAGTCGCTCAACGAGATACCTCCTCTGTTCGACGCTTCGGTATTTGGCGCTCCCCCAGCTCAACCTGCCAGCGCTGAACAAGAGCTCGAGATCGGAAGACTGAGGGATGAGGTGAGTGCACTGAACAGACAAATAGAAGAGAGAAAGCTCGAGGCGGAGTCAGCGCAAGTGCATCTGAACAGCGAGATCCAGCAGGCGAGAGAAACCATCGAGTCGTTGACCGTGGAGCTACGCAATCTCAATGCAGCACGCGCAGATCTGGAAAGTGCTCTCTTGGTCAAGGACGCGGAGGTGTCGGCATTGCACAACGAGATAAAGGCAGCCAATGACGCACTGGCAGCGGCAAAGGTAGATTACGAGAAGCTGTCCGAAGAACTGGAACACAAGAACGCGTGGATCATCTCAGCGACGAACGAGAGGGAGGGCTACCTGGGTCAACTGGAACATTTGAACCTCGAAAAACAGGAGGCCGAGCGCGTCGTCGGTAACTTGCTGTTCGGCACCCCGGGTCTGGACGAGTCGTCGTCGCTTGTGCAAAAACTCCAGAGCTTTGAGATCAAGCATGGAGAACTTTTGTCGGAATTGGAAGCGGCTAAGAATGAGAATCAAGAATTGTTGGCGGCTCAGGAGGTGCACAGGGTCAAAATCGTTCAGTTGGAGATGGAAGCCAAGACGAGCGGCGATAGCGCGGTGATCGCCGAGCTCGAAAGTAGAGTCGCTCAAGTTGTCAGAGAGAGGGAAATCCTGCAGTTGCAAGTGAACGACGTAGCTCGCGCCTACGAGGATCTGAAGGAGAGCACCGCAGCTCTGAATAACGTCCAGAGCCAGCTTGAGGCTGCGAATCAAGAGAAGGACCAACTGTTACGCGAGATTGAAGTTCTCCGTGCTAGCCAGGAGATCAAAGTGGAGAAGAGAGAAGCGCAGCAGGTCAAATCGGCTCCCGCTCCGACGTCCGAGTCGATGTGGGAGGATGACGAAGACCCGTGGGGATTCAACGACAAGTCGGTCGAGCCCGAGCAGCACGTTTACATTCCCGTGGTTCCGAGCACGGAGATTCAGCTGAGGCTGAAGGTTGACGAGCTCGAGGAGAAGCTTAAGGAGTTAACGGACGAGAACGCCAAGCTTATCGAGGAGGGCAAGACCGCGCAAGTGAAGAACGTCAAGTACGTGAAGAAGCTGAAGGAGTACAAAGTGCAGTTTGACAGTTTGCAGCGCGAGCTCAAGTCGCAGCGGTCGATAGGCGGCTTAGGTGACCTAGATTCCGCGATCGAGGAAGAGTTCAGGGCCCAGATTGCGAGTCTCGAAAAAGTCTTGGTCGAGACCAGAGAAGAGAACAAGAAGCTCGTCGTGGAGAAGGCCCAGCTGCAGACAAAGACGCAACAGCTGGCAGACACTCTGAACGAGAAGAAGTTGCGGCTGGACGAGCTGAGCATGGAAATTGCTGTCAAGGACAACGAGCTTTCGAAACAAAGATCGGAACTTGAGGAGCTACGAGGCGTGGGGGACAAAGTTAAAGGACTTGAGCTGTCGATCGAAGCCTACGTGATGGAGGTGCAAGAGAAGAACGAGAAAATCAACGAGCAGCAAGCCAAACTGAACGACCTCGAGGCCACTCTCAACGATAGAGAGCAGCAGGAAATCGACCAGTTGCGATTCGATCTGCAGAGCAAGATGAGCGAGCTCGAGGAGGTCAAGGGTAAGCTGGAAGCGCTAACACAAGAGCAGAGCGCCAGCACGCCGAAAGAAGTTGTCAGCGTGCAAGAGACCGCGGTGCATGAAGATGACGTGCCCGTGTTTACGTTTGGAAGTGATACCGACGATGATCGGGAGCTGAAAAAGCTCAAGGCTGAGCTGAAAGCGAAAAACGACGAGATCGAGCACCTATTGTATTCGCTTAACGAAGCTAAGACGACGCGCATGATTCAGGAGTTGCAGGATAACGTGAACGCGCTGTACAACGAGAAATCTTACTTGGAGGAGCAGATAATCATCAAGAACCAGGAGATTCACGCCCTCAAGACGCAGCTGGACGGTCGGCCGGCACAGCAACAGCAACAGCACGAAAGAAGAAAGCGATCGTTAGGGGAACAGGAAGAACTTATGAGACTACAGAATGAGCTGCACTCAAGAGACCAGCAGATCAACGACCTGAGGTATTTGCTTGCAGAGAAAGAAGCTCAGCTGAAGGAAACCCTGCCAGTAGCTGAGGAAGCAAAGTACAAAATGTACGAGAACTTCCAGGAAATCGAAAGTTACAAGTTGACCGTAGATGAGCTGCAGGCCGAGGTCGCGAGTCTACGTGGTCTGGAAAGATTGGCTGCTGAAGATAAGGCGACGATCGAGAGATTAAACTCTGAGAAGGAGACGGTTCGGATGGAGGCTCAGCAGGACCTCGAACGAATACTATTGGTAAGTCTTATCATGGATTTTATAGTGAATTTTTTTTTCTTTCAGCAAATCACAAAAAATATTATGTTGTTCTTTAGGAAAAGAAAGACGAAATAGCAAGTATAAAGAAGCAACTGGAGGAAGAGAACCAACGTTTGATGAGTAACCTCGGTTTGCGCGAGCGGGACGTGGAAAATCTGAAACAGCAGCTGCTGGAGTTGGCACAGTCGAAGGACAGCCACATTGAACAACAGCTGGCCATGATGCACAACGAGTTGGATCAGTGCAATCGAGATAAGAAAAATTTAGAGCAGCGGTTGCTGGAGGTCGTGGAGTACAAGGACAACCAGGTCGAACACGAACGAGCAAGGCTGCAAAAGGATATCTGGGAGCAGGATCAAAAAATTGTCGAGTTGAATGCCACAAAAGAGGCGGACATTAACAATATGCTGGTGCAGCTGAGCGAAAAGAACGCTAAAATAGAAGAGCTCGTTGCTTGGAGTGGAGATCAAGAGAATCAGCTCGCAGCCTTGAAGAAGCTCTTGGAGATGAGGGAACAACAGATCAATGGACTTATGCAGCAATTGGAGGAGAAGAGCAGAGAGTACGAGCTCATTCACAACGCGCTGCAGCGACACGTGTCTAAACCCGAACAATCTGCAGAAGTGCAACATCTGGTACTTGAGAATCTCTTGTATCTTACGGAACAAACGTTAGATTGTCATTTTTTTTTACACAATTTTCATCTGCCCTTGCAGCAAAGTGAATCCGTACCAGTCGAAACGGACCGAGAGCTGGATCTTGCGCTGTACATGTTGCATCAGAGGGACGTGCGATGTGAGGAACTAGCGCTCGAGCTGACGCAGTTGGTTGACGAACGAGATACCCTACAGCTGAGATTGTCGAATGCGCTCAGGGTGAACGAGGAGCTGAAAAAGTATGCGGATACGAGTCCGCCGAAAGATCCGTCACAGTCGTCGAGTGCTAGTAAAGTCGAGGCCGAGCCCCTCGTTGAAAATCCCTCGCCTTCTAAATCCAAAGGCCCGGTCGAAATAGCCAAGGAGGCCATTGACTCGCCCATTGGCGAGGACAAGAAGGCTCTTGCTCAGAAGTATGTATCAGTAATGATTATTTTTTTAACCCTGGTATACAATACTTTTCCGTACCTCGCTTTTTTGTTTGGTGCTTTGTATACGTGTGATCCATTCAAGTATTTACATACATCAAACTCTTGCACGTAGAATTGTGTACAAGCTAGAACTTTTTTTTTTTTAATTCCCTCCCCAGGCTATCGCAGTTGAAAAGTATAGATCACGGGAGAGACGTACGATTGAAGGACGATCGGGAGCAGAGGCACTCGCAGCAAATGATGTTGATGGCTCACAAGGATGTGCTGAGTAAACTGCCGCCCGAAGCTGCGGCTAGACTGGTCAATGCCAACTACACGCTCTGTAAGTATTATTATCGACAAGTTTCACTTGGATTTCGAAAATGAAAAAGAGAAGGTGTCGTACGTTTAGTTTTCCACAACTATTTGACCGCAAGTAGTACATAGTGTATGGTTCATTTCCCGCCATCCATTGTAAGCAGCGCAATATTGCTAGATTAACCGATGTGTTGACCTGTACTGATTATTGAACTTTACTATTGGAATGAGAAACTTTATTTTTTTTGTACCTCTTGCAGCGCGAGACGTTCAGAGTCAATCGAGCGTTCTAATGAACTGGCTGTGGGGGAAGAGGTAAGTAAACACGGATTTCAATATTAATTCAGTCATTAGAAATCTTGCAATATTTTTACGATGCTGCCGATACTTATTTATATACTTATTTATATCAGCACGCCGAAGGTAATGCACATGTGATAGAGGAAAAAACGCCAGATAGAAAATCAGAAAAAGAGCAACCAAGGGAGTCGAAAGAGCCAATGGAGGTGGAAAAAGAGGAAGAGGTGGAGCATCAGTAGCAGTAATCGAAGCCTCTGAGCTTCCCTGCCCGTTTTCAATTAACATTCCACGCTTGAAGTCGAGTCAAGGCCAAAGAACATTTTCTCTCCCTCCCGAGAAGTAAAGAGAGCGCGTGTGTGCAGAGCAAGAGAATAGAGACTGGGATACTCTCTTTTTCTTCGTGCCACTCGTAGGTCTACATGTGATCGATTTACCGAAACGAGCTTCGACATAAAGACTCTTAAATAAAATACGAACCTGCGGAACGTCCTCCACGGAGTCCCTTGTAGGGATTCCCTATTTCGGTCGTGCTTCCTCTCGGGCTCGTCTTTTCTCGTCCGTTTATGTGCTAATGTAAAAGGGTGACACGGCCACGTGTACTATACCACTCTACTAATTAACTACCACTACTAATACGTACGTTACTGAGCCTCGCAGTCGTACCCGAATGTATAAAATATATTAGCAAATCATTATTATTTTTATTAAAGATAAAAATATGAAACATTTGTATCATACGAAAAGAGACCATTTGTAGGTTTACCAGTGTAATTATGCGAGTTGCCTTTGAAAAGAAAAGTGAAATGATGAAAGAAACAAGAAAATTGTAAATTTCTTTATTTTGAATAATCTTACGTGTTGCATTTCGAATTTAAAAATAAACAAGCCAAAGCCCTCGAATCGACGCGCTTTCTTAAACATTTCACTTTTCGTACACTCTTGTAACTTTTTTTTTTTTTTTTTTTTTTTTTTTTTTTTTCAAATGATTGTCAACGGAACTTGTGTGTGTCTATTCGAGGGATCATACATTATAGTGCTTATTATTTTTATCGTGTATTTAGAAAAATACTACACATATAATAGTGAATGCCATTAACGTTGATTAATGTTTATTATTGCCAGGTCTAGGGAAACTAAAGTGCGTTATCGTAAAAAACGGACTTGTTCAAAGTTTTGTACAGATAAATGAAAAAAAAAATGTTTATTGATTTAAAATAAAGAGCCTGTGCCAGGCATTTATTATATATACAACGTACAAGATGTAGTATCTACTCTTTTTTTATCGAGTGATTTCCGGACGAAAAGAGATTATTTTGCAGCTACAAAATCATCCTATTCATCAGGGCATGTACATTTCTTCTTTTTTTTTTTTTTTTTTTTTTTTTTTTTTTTTTTTTTTTTTTTTTTTTTTTTTTTTT